TGTTTGAAAAATTTTATAAAAGAAACAAATAAACTTTTTTTTTTTTTTCAAATTTTTTGCACATTTTTTTAATTTATAGCGCAAAAAGTAAAGCGCCCAGTGGCGATTAAATACCACCAAAAGAAAGCTCTATTTGTGAGAAAAAAATGATCAAAATTTCATATGGGTACAATGTTGCATGACCGCGCAATTGCCAATCAAAGTGCGGCAGCGCTGAAAGCTGAAAATTGGCCTGGTAAGGAAGGGGGTATAAGTGCCTGGTAGGCAAGTGGTTAATGTATGAACTTTTTTAACATTTTCTAGTATTTTTTGATTCCTTTTATGTACATTCTATATGGTTCTTTGTAAACTTGTTGATTATGTACTGTATTTGATTGACACCCGGGCCCCTCCTCCCTGCCTAGGACAGCCCAACCCATAGGGGAGGGCCCTATTTCAGTCTGGAGGCATAAATGGGAACACACACTCTCAGTCCAGCCAGCTCTGAGGAAGAAGGCATGTCCTTCGAAATGCGTCAGCTGTACTGAGTGGCTTCCTCCATGATGGGATTCGCATTGGCATCTTGCCTCTAAAGTCCCTTTTGAGGACTTACATGCTTGTTTTTATTCGCTGTTTGTGAGTTCCATTCTTTTATTTAATAAATTTTGGTTACTGAGGTAATGCGCAAGGTTGGTGCGCTTCTCTTTTGTTGTTGTTCTTCACAGTTTTGTTTGGGCTTCCCCAGCCTTGGTGTGGAGCTGCACGACCTTGTCTATTCCGGTGGTCCCTTCCTTTTTGGAGTTTGATTCCATCTACTCACCACCGGCCTGGGTCCCGGAGCGCAGGAGACACTACCTTTGGTTCAAAACAATTCACAGAGCAGGTAAGTATGACATGTTTGTTATTTTAAAAAAAAAATAAACAAATCTGCATTTACAATCACTTTAAAGAGAACCCATCATACATGGGATAGCACACAAAAATCGGAATTTTTAGTCATAAATTACTGTAGAGATTTAGCTCCCTGTCTTACTAGTATACCTATTGATGGTGGAAACTCATCAGCCAAAAAATTGCTAGGAGAGCAAAGATGCCACTCACTTGCTTCTACATGTTGCTTCCTCACTGTCTGACCAGTAAAGCAAAACTACGCTGTGGCTTTCTCGCTGGTGAGCAAGATTTTGCAGTGATTTGGCCAGCAATGGCGCAACCCAATAGAAACAGATGAGCGTTCTTTTAAGCAATCTTCTTACTATATATATTTTTCCTCCAGCAATAAAAACACTAGCATCATAGGACCTAACTGAAACATTTAGATTGGTCCCCTTATTTATTTTTATTCACTATGCCTGAGCGTGACTCTAGGAAGTTAGAGGTCAGATGTCATCTGAATGAGTCTGGAAGTTTATTTATTTCAGGTACTTATATAGCGCCGTCAATTTACGCAGCGCTTTACATATGTATTGTACATTCACATCAGTCCCTAACCCTCAAGGGGCGTAAAATCTAAGGTCCCCAACTTACATTCATACATACACAACTACTAGGGACAATTTAGACAGGATCCAATTAACCTCCCAGCATGTCTTTGGAGTGTGGGAGGAAACCGGAGTACCCAGAAGAAACCCACGTAGGCACAGGGAGGAACATGCAAACTCCAGGCAGTGGTGCCGTGGTTGGTAATTTGAATCGACGACCCTAGTACTGCCAGGCGGAAGTGCTAACCATTTAGCCACTGTGTTTGCCCCCCAAGTTGCTCCTTTGTCAACTGCCCCAGCTTAACTGTCTGAGCTTCCAGGATTGCGTAACAGTCTAAATTACAGAGCCATGCAGTGCAAAGTAATACAGAGAATTGAAGCATTCTGTTATTTGAATATTTTATGCACACCTAGAAGCTGAAGATTACCCAGAAGCTAGAGGATATAGTTTGGAGCATGATAGGGCAGCTCAACGGCAACCTGAAGAAAGAGTGCACAGCAGGCTGGCAACGGTGCTGTCAATTGTGAGGCAACGCACGCTTAGCGTTGTCAGCCTGCAACAGTAAGTGCTGTTACTGACACAGATCTCCAGGTAAGAAACTTTGTTAAACAATAAAAGAATATTTTGCTTAAAAAAAAACTGTATACAGTTTAGGCATGATACCGAACATACACTAAACTAGTTTTTTGGGTTTTACATACACTGTAACCCTTTTGCTGTCAGAGACATTTTTTTATTATTTGTCCTTACATACTAAAACGAACAAAGTTTTTTTACATGAAAAGTGCACTTAAAACCCCAAAACATTATATACTGTATTTCCTGAAAGCAGAAATCCTGTGGATTAAAATGGGGTAAAATCTATGCTCTTAAGTGCAATGAAGAACCAACCATAAGGACAATGCCATAAAGTGCCAGCAAACACAAATGCTCCTGCGCTTGGGGATGGACTCGATGCAGGCTACTGACAACCACATAAGAATGTCCTGGAACATGCACACCTTGCTGCCCTCAAATAGACCGGGTGGAATCCAAATATACTGAATGAGGAAAGAACAAACAGAGGGCGCACAGGCCTACTGCATTACCATAAAAATGTTTAATAAGAAATAAAGTAGGTGTTGTACTCACAAACGACAATAAAGTGAAGGCACATCATAAATGAACAGCTGGGTCAACACCGCGCTGAGTAACAGTCTGCAGTAGGAAGTGTAGACATCCAATAGGCGTTTCGAGGACTTGCCTCTTCCTCAGAGCTCTCTGAGGAAGAGGCAAGTCCTCGAAACGCCTATTGGATGTCTACACTCCCTAAATGCGGACTGTTACTCAGCGCGGTGTTGACCCAGCTGTTCTTTATGATGTGCCTTGACTATATTGTCGTTTGTGAGTACAACACCTACTTTATTTCTTATTAAACATTTTTTATTGGTAATGCATTAGGCATGTGCGCCCTCTGTTTGTTCTTTCCTCATTCAATGCCATAAAGTGCATTCACTGGATAGCAACCACTGCAGCTGTTAATATCATGCAGATGAATCTAATAGTTCCAAAGAAAATGGGGGTAATTGCTTTTTTTTCTGTCACACAATATTTGCACTACTGTATTTGAAATCTATATCAGAAAAAAATACACTCAATTTTAAGTGATGGCTCTAGAATTATTGCTTTTACTGTGCCGAGTACGGTGTGACATCAGTTTTTGATTTTGTATGTGTGTGCACCCCAACACATATATTTGCATTCATATGGGTACCAAAAGATTACAGGTTGGGGGGCAGATGTAGAATTGATCAGGTTAGCTGGCAACTGGGAGAAAAAAATGTAAACAAACTCTGGGCTGCTACAGTGGCCAGGAGTTTGTTTACATGCCAGTGCTGTCGCCCCCAAAATAGTTTGCAAAAGGTTTAAACCGCTTCCCCGCCACCCACTATAGCAGAAATGCTGCAGGTAAAGGGAAGTGCACGACGCCCTACCCGCACCGCCACTGGCGACTGCAGATGTCGATCATTGGGTCCCGGCCAGAGATTCTCCACCGCCACCTGGAGATCACCAAGAAACAGTGACAGGGGAGAGACCTGTGTGTAAACAACACATGTCTCTGTCCTGCCAGGAAGAACATAGTGCTTTGTATTAAATACACAGCAGCATGTTTCCCTAGTAAAAGACACACAGCACATTATGTAAAACAGCACACAGTTAACCCTTTGATCGCCCCAGATGTTAACCCCTTCCCTCCCAGTGTCTGAATGCCCACCACAGTCCTGCTATAAGTTGCTGATCGCCGCCATTATATACATATATATAATATATATTCCAGTATATATACCCTGTTGGCGGCACGTTAATTGTGCGAAGCCAGTTGTGACTCCTTGTGGCTGCCCACTGTGCATGTAAACAGCACACAGTTAACCCTTTGATTGTCCCAGATGTTAACCATTCCTAGTATAAAAAAATAATCCAAGTATATATACTGCCATTTGTAGACACTATAACTTTCACGTAAACCAATTAATTTACATGTATTGGTATTTTTTTTAGCAAAGACATGGAGCAGAATACATTTTGGCCTAAATTTATGACTAACTTTGATTTTTAAAACATTTTTACTGGACATGTTTAATAACAAAAAGTCAAACATACATATATATATTTTTTTTTCAAAATTGTTGGTCTTTTTTTGTATAGCACAAAAAATTAAAAACACACAGGTGATCAAATACCACTGAAAGAAAGCTCTATTTGTGGGGCAAAAAGGACGTAAATTTAATTTGGGTGCAGTGTTGCATGACCGTGCAATTGTCAGTTAAAATAATGCATCGCTGTATTGCGAAAAAATGGCCTGGTCAGGAAGGCCAAGTGGTTAAAAATCTTTAAGTAATAAATCTTAAAAAGACATCCCCTAGACTGAGTTATTGGAACCGGTTGTGTATAGACGGCCGCTGGTTGTAGTGGGCAGCCTCTGTACTATCAGGGAGGAACCAGCTACTGCTAGAGTTGGTTCTGGCCAGCTCAGTGGATTGCTTCAAAAAAGGTCTGCATTCTTTCTTGGATACACAGAATATAAATGGATACTAACATTTGGTACTTGTCTGTTAATTCATCTGATTTATTTAATATATATATTATTATATATATATATAGACACACTTTACTGACATCCTAGCTAAGTAATTAGTTTGAAATAAAACTTTTAAACTATGTTAACTATATTGAATAAATAAATCAGGTGAATTACAGACAAGTACCGAAAATTGCACGATCTTGAAGTCGCACAAGTGTGAATGGAGCCTGACGGATAATCTTCAATAGCCAAAAACGTCTGAACTGAACAAGTCGCATAACTTTTCCCAGCAAGTTTGGCAGGTGTAATTTATCTTGTAGCCACGAGGTGGGGCGCTGACACAACTCGCTCTTCGGCTGCGGGGCCCAGTGAAAGGATACGCATGCTCGCAATACTGTGGGGTTTTCCTATTCGCTCTCCACTCAGCCAATGCGATTAGGACGTATCGCAGATGGACCCGGAAGTGCTGAGGTGACTGACTGGACTTCCGGTGGGGAAGATGGAGGCTTTCCACCGGCTTCGGCAGTTTGATGCTTATCCCAAGACTCTGGAGGACTTCCGTGTGAAGACATGCGGCGGGGCTGTAGGTGAGGACGGACCATGCACCGGCCTGTATGACCGACACATCACCCACAATCCTCACGGCTGCCAGGTGTCCTCCCTTCCCAGGGACCGGCATGGCTCCTGAGTGTGTATTACCCTGTATATGGGGGAGGGGGAGGAGAGACGGCTCTTCATGACAACCCGGACAACTTATGTTCACTATATACCTGTGTGTACTGTACACTATATATATATACACCACCTACACACTGCATATACCACACCTTACACTATATATATATATATATATATACACACCACCTACACACTGCATATACCACACCTTACACTGTATATATATATACACACCACCTACACACTGCATATACCACACCTTACACACTATTATATATATATATATATACACACACCACCTACACACTGCATATACCACACCTTACACTGTATATATATATATACACACACACACCTACACACACTACACTATATACCACAGCCTATTACCTGTGTGTACTATATATATATATATATATATATATATACACACCACCTACACACTGTGTATTCCACACACCTAGCACTGTATATACCTGTGTGTACTGTACACTATATATATATACACCACCTACACACTGCATATACCACACCTTACACTGTATATATATATACACCACCTACACACTGCATATACCTTACACTGTATGTATATGTACACCACCTACACATATATATACCACACCTTACACACTGTGTATATATATACCACATCTAGCACTGTATACCTGTGTGTACTGAACACTATATATTTATACACACCACCTACACACTGTGTATTCCACACATCTAGCACTGTATATACTGTACACCCACAACTATATATTGTACACCTAGTACTGTATACACTGTACACCTAATATATACCACACCTAGCACTATATATACACGACATCTAGCGCAATATATACGCAATATATTTTAAACCGAGTACTGTATATATAGCAAAACCCAGCACTGTATACAATGTACACCTAGCACTGTATATATACCACATCTAGCACTGTATACACCGTACACCCACAACTATATATTGTACACCTTGCACTGTATATATACCACACCTAGCACTGTATACACTGTACACCTGGCACGGGGTGTGTGTGTGTGTGTATATATATATATATATATATATATATATATATATATATATATATACATACATACATACATACATACACACACCACATCTAGCAATGTATACAATGTACACCTAATATATACACCTAGTATATATACCACACCTAGCACTGTATGTACCACATCTAGCGCTATATATATATATATATATATATATATATATATATATATATATATATATATATATATATAGTAAACCGAGTACTGTGTATATATATCACACCCAGCACTGTATACAATGTACACCTAGCACTGTGTATATATATATACACCACATCTAGCACTGTCTACAATGTACACCTAGCACTGTGTGTATATATATATATATATATATATATATATATATACCACATCTAGCATACTATATATATATATATATATATATATATATATATATAAAATGTATACAATGTACACCTAATATATATACCACACCTGGCACTGTATATACTGTACACCTATATATATATATATATATAGTAAACCAAGTACTGTATATATACCACACCTAGCACTGTATATACTGTACACCTTACTGTATACACTGTACTGTGCAAAAGTCTTGGGCGGTCGTGAAAAAAATGCTGTAAATGAGGAATGATTTCAGAAACAGAAGTGTTATTAGTTTATCAATTAACAAAATTAAAAATGTACAGAAGAGGAATGCAAATCAAACAATATTTGGTGTGACCACCCTTTGCCTTCAAACCAGCATCGATTCTCTGAGGTAGACTTGCAGACGGTTTTTGAAGCAACTCTGCAGGTAGGTTGGTCTAAACAACTTGGAGAACTCATAGTAGATCTTCTGTGGATGAAGGCTGCCTCAAATCCTTCTGTCTCTTCATGTAATACCAGACAGACTCCATGATGGTGAGATCAGGGCTCTGTGGGGGCCAAATCATCACTTCCAGGACTCCTTGTTCTTCTTTACACTGAGGATAGTTTTTAATAAAATTGGCTGTATGTTAGTGGTGGTTATCCTGCTGCAGAATAAATTTAGGGCCAGTCACGCACCTCCCTGATGGTATGGCATGATGGACAAGTATCTTCTTGTATTTCTCAGCATTGAGGACACCGTTGATCCTGACCAAATCTCTAGAAATGCAGCTCCAAACTTGCAAGGAACCTCCAACATGCTTCACTGTTGGCTGCAGACACTCATTATTGTACCGCTCTCCAGCCATTTGTGAACAAAATGCCTCCTGTTACAGCCATATATTTGATATTTTGCTCTTCAGTCCAGAGCACCTGCTGCTAGTTTGCTGCACCCCAGTTGCTATGATTTCATGCATAGTTTAGTCACTTAGCCTTGTTTCCATGTTGGAGGTATGGCTTTTTGATAGAAATTCTTCCATGAAGACCTTTTCTGGCCAGACTTCTCTAGACAGTAGTTGGGTGTACCTGGGTCTCGCTGGTTTCCTCCAGTTCTGTGCTAATGGCACTAATGGACATCTTCCGATCTTGAAAATAAGTAAGCTTGATGAGTCTTTTATCTGCTGCATTAGGCTTCCTTGGCCGACCTCTGCATCTATGGTCCTCAACATTGACCGTTTCTTTGTGCTTCTTCTAAAGAGCTTGAAAAGCACCTCTTGAAACCCCAGTCTGCTTTGGAATGTTTGCCTGGGAGAGACCTTGCTGATGCAGCATAACTACCTTGTGTCTTGTTGCTGTGCTCAATCTTGCCATGGTGTATGACCTGTGACATGAAACTGTCTTCCACAACCTTACCTTAGTAGCAGAGTTTGGCTGTTCCTCACCCAGTTTTAAGCCTCCTACACAGCTGTTTAAGTTAAAGTGGCTTTAAGTCTCAAGGTTTTGTACCTTAATGCATTCTATGTATTAAGGTTAAAAAAAATAAAACACCTGTCTCATCCCCCTTATACTTGCATGACCCCATTGCGATCCATCGCTGAGCATGAGAGCTGCAGCTTTCCTGGCTTTGTCCCTCCTCACTGGGCAGATCAATAGCAGTGGAAGCCACTGGCTCCCGCTTCTGTCAATCAACTCCAGTGATGGAGCAAGGGGTGGGTCCGAGTCCCGCTGTTTGTGTCAATGGACTCAGCAGCTGGACTCGGGAGCCAGACCGCATGAGTGTTCCCTTGGGAATCGGCTTCCTATTGGGGGCACCAGCACGACAGGAGCACCAGCGGGGGACCCGAGAAGAGGAGGATCAGGGCTGCTCTGTGCAATTCTGTTGCACAGAGTAGATAAGTATAGACATGTGTGTTATTTTTAAAAAAATTCCTTTACAACCACTTTAATGATTGTGGGGGAGATTCACTAAAACAGGTGCACTTAGAATCTGGTGTAGTTGTGTATGGTAGTCAATCAGCTTCTAAGTTCAGCTTGTTCAGTGAAGCTTTGGCAATAACACCTGGAAGATGATTAGTTTCTATGCAGAGTTGCACCAGATTTTGCACTTCCCAGGTTTAGTAAATAAAGTCCGCAAATCCCTGATCGATGGATTGACTTGGGTACAATCAGCTTGCCCATAGGTGATTTGAATCTCATCTGGTTCCTACTAAACCGGCTGAGATTCAAACCAACTGTGGCCAGCTGTAACCTGAAAAACATTTTCAGCCACCACATCTAATGACTGGTAATCTGCCATATTATTGTTCTTGGGTTTAGATGTCTTTAGCAGTCTTTTACAGGGGCCATTTCAGGGCCCATAAAAATAGCTGTGAGTTCTGATGCCTGGGAGGCACAATGCATTGTACAGCCCCCTGCCACCAGCCCTGTCATAATTAATGACAGGTTGAATTATGCAGCGTCTGTATGCTGTCATGGATGGGAGAAATTTCATGTTCATACATCTCTGAACACATATGGCCCTGAACATGAGTGGAGCTCAGCACAGCGTACAGTTATTGTATATATTGTGTATTTTTACAGGGCTGTTGGCAGCAGGCTGTATGCTGTCTGTGTGCCTCCTGGCCACTAGAATTCATCTTGCTATATGGGTAACAGTGCCCATGTGCATGGGCCCTTTAGAGATTTTCTTTTTGTTTCTGCTGGCAACAGAATCTCTTTTAATTGTTTTCTGCCCTTCCAGAACAGTCCAATCAATAGCTATATCTGCTCTTACACATTGTTCCTGCTCACAAAGAGCTCCCTGTTTTTAGCTGGTTGCGGCAGTGAAGATTATGGACCATACTTTCTCCAGAGCTGCTTAGGACAGAGAGAGGTGAGATAACAAAGCTCTGTTACATAAACAGAAGTTAGTGAACCATAAATCTTTAAACAATGATGTGAGTGTGTAGGTGGAAGTTAACCTTTTACTGTCCATAAGCCAGAAGAGGCAGCCATGTTGAGCAGAAAAGGAACTGGTTTTAAAGGTAAACTGCCAAGGTTTTTTCTTGGAGCCTGCAAAGAACTGCACACATGATCTGTGGATCGTGGGTGCAATGTCAGGCTCCTGCAGACACTGCTGACAGGTCTCTGCTTGTACCTCCCTCCAGTCACACAGTTACTTAGTTGCAGGAAGTGTTGGTGAACTATGAGGGCCCTGGTAGTTCACTGAGAACTACAAGCCGTCTGCTGCAGTGGTAGACAGGACTTGTAGTTTATTAATTCACAATCTCTGTGAATGAATGACGCAGCTGTGTGGGCAGAGCCACACACAGTCGCACCATTTTTAAAATGTCACAGCGGGTGCGGGGGAGAAGAACCAGTCAGCTGTCACAGGGGGAATGATTGGGAGTACTGCATAGTAACATGTTACACCACACATATTTATTTATCATGTTACTAAAGGTGAACTTATTTAGCGGCGCAAGCTCTCAGACTGTCATCCTCATCCTTGTTTCACTACTTCCTTGCTTCGCCT